TAGGGGAGACGAAGGATGGGCGCCATATGTTGTCTGGAGAAGGCGGGGCTGCCTCTTCAACAAGGTTTAAGTCAAAACGACGGTCGGAGGGGCCAGACTTTTTCAAAGGTGTTGAAGAGAGAAGAGGTCGGACAAATCAAGATCTTAGAAGTGCAAGAATGGAGCTTCTACTGGTGGATATTCAAGTGTGCTTTGGAACTTAATGTCAGCCCCTATAAAAATCTGCACTCGACGAAGCTTCAGAAATTGAAGAGGCGCCTGCTCAGAAATCGAAGAGGCGTTTGCTTTCTCAAAAGCTGGGCTGCTCAAAGACCACGAAGGCCGATCTCAGAAATCGAAGAGGTTTGCTTTCTCAAAAGCTGGGCTGCTCAGAGACCACGAGGGCCGATCTCAGAAATCGAAGAGGTTTGCTTTCTCAAAAGCTGGGCTGCTCAGAGACCACCAGGGCCGATCTCAGAAATCGAAGAGGCACCTACTTTTCCAGCCTTGTCAGCACCTGTCACACGCACACTCAGCTTTGCGGAAATTATGGGCATTCTGTCGAAGATTTTTGGCGAAGTAGAAAGCACATGAATCGTACTGTTCAATCACCCACTTCCCACACGCAACAGTAGCTCATGGGTACCACATATAACTTTGCCAAAGTTCTCTGACAAAGTTGAGACTACTTTTCCAGCCTTGTCAGCACCTGTCACACGCACACTCAGCTTTGCGGAGATTATGGGCATTCTGTCGAAGATTTCTGGCGAAGTAGAAAGCATATGAATCGTACTGTTCAATCACCCACTTCCCACACGCAACAGTAGCTCATGGAAACCACATATAACTTTGCCAAAGTTCTCTGACAAAGTTGAGACACGTGAAGCTTGCAGCTCTCACTACATCGCTCTGACCAAGAAGGGTAAAAGAATAGCAAAGAAACAACACTAACAAAGTTTAGGCACATAAATTTTGAAGGCGTAGCTACCATATTATTACCCACAAGGGTAAATGAACAGTACCACTCCAAAATCGAAGAGGCATCGCCCTCCGAATCTCGAGAGCCAAACTCCTAACATGATTACTTTCTCAAAAATCGAAGAGAGGGTAAAAGAACAGTACCACTGCTGGATAATTGGAAAGTCCCTGTGTGTCAACCTCTGTGCTTCGTGGCAAGGTAGACTAGCAAACATGCCCAACCTTTACTCACATTCGAGAAAACACTCCCAACAAGATTGTTTGCTCCAAAATCGAAGAGGCACCGCCCTCCGAATCTCGAGAGCCAGACTCCCAACATGATTACTTTCTCAAAAATCGAAGACACCGCTCTCCAAATCTCGAGAGCCAGACCCCCAGCAGGATTGCTTTCTCAAAAATCGAAGAGGCATCGTTCTCCGAATCTCGAGAGCCAGATCCCCGACAGGATTGCTTGTTCGAAAACCGAAGAGGCACCACTTTCCCAACTTTAATAGCCGGATCTCCTTGGATAAAGCTTGTCTGTAATCTTCACACGCAACATCAGCTTTCCAGATACCACATACCACTTTTTCAAAATGCTCTGACAGAGTTAAAACTTGTGAAGCTGGCAGCTCCCACTACCGTGCTATGACCAAGCAGGGTAAAAGAATAGCATTATTACTTGATGTTAGGTAGACTCCTATATATGTCGACCTCCATCCCCAACGAACAGGCAGACCTGCAAAAATGCTCAACCCTTCCTCTTATATGAGAGGGCACTCCCAACGAAGCCTTTCGAAATATTCAGCTTTCTTTCCCCCCGATAATACCTCTGTAAACAAGCTATTCTAGAGCAAGAATATCTTATATCATCAGGGTTAAAAGCAAGAGTATCCCATATCATGCTTTTTCCTTGTCTTTTCCTTTGGCCTTGTTCTTACCTGCAAGACAAGGAGAAAGAGAGCAATCAGTCAGCACTTGGAATCAAGCTTCCAGCCAGGAACTGACTGCCTGGAACCCCTTACCTGATTACTTACCTGGCATTGCTCTCGAGTACTCATCTTCAACATCTTATGCTTCCAGGAAAGATACCGCATCTGCCTGAGGAACAGATAGGGCAAGTGAGAAGGATACAAGGAAGCATGTGGAGACAAGCGTAACAGCACACGTGCCGATACATCCACTACTTTGTCAAAAGCAAAAGTATCCCATATCAGCAGGGTCGAACGTACTCTAGAATTGATGGACTTGTTTTGACCCTCAAATTCTTCAGTCGGCCTTATACTCTGGAGGAAACCAGAAAACCCTCCAGCCCAGTTCAAGAATAAGCCTGTGGAAAGTTACTTCTTCAAAAGCAAAAGTATCCCATATCATCTCTTCTCATTTTTCTTCTCTTTATCCTTCATGCTGCCTGCAAGATAGGGAGAATGTGAACAATCAGCCGGAGCTTTGATTGCTTACCTTGTCTGTTACCTCTTTCAGCAGATCCCCTAGCTCGGCGACTTGGGGGACTCCTATTACATGGTTTGTATCGCGCTTGACCAAGCCTGAAACTACAAGTAAGCTTCAAGTGACATTGATACATTACCTTGTGCATCTCCACCAGTTACAGATACCACCCCTGGATGGAGGAAGAGTACTTCCAGAGAAGATGCCACATCTACCTATGAGACAGATAAGGAAAGTCAAGACGATACCACACTCCGATACTTAGAAGTTTCGTGGTTACGAGATCATTCTCCCACAATATTTCCTAATGTCATTTGTACTAAATCATTCACTTGTACTCCCTAAAGGAGAGCTTGAATCTATGTACTTGTGTAAACCCTTCACAATTAATGAGAACTCCTCTATTCCGTGGACGTAGCCAATCTGGGTGAACCACGTACATCTTGTGTTTGCTTTCCTATCTCTATCCATTTATATACTTATCCACACTAATGACCGGAGCAATCTAGCGAAGATCACAAAAAGTGACCGTTTTCGCTACCTAGGATCTATCTTGCAAGAGAACGGAGAATTAGATGGAGATCTCAACCATAGAATACAAGCTGGATGGATGAAGTGTAAGAGTGTATCCGGCGTATTGTGTGACCGTCGTAGGCCACTGAAGCTCAAGGGAAAATTTTATAGGACGGCAATAAGGCCAGCGATGTTGTATGGCATAGAATGTTGGGCGGTGAAGCATCAACACGTACACAAAATGGGTGTAGCGGAGATGAGGATGCTTCGTGGGATGTATGGGCACACGAGAAAGGATAAGATTGGGAATGAGGATATCCGAGGTAAAGTAGGAGTAGCCAAAATTGAAGGAAATATGAGAGAAAATCGGTTCCGGTGGTTTGGACATGTGCAAAGAAGGCCTACTGACGCTCCGGTTCGAAAATATGACTACGGGACAGAGGTTCAGGGCCGAAGAGGTAGAGGAAGACCTAGGAAAACTTTGGAAGAGACCCTAAGAAAAGACTTGAGTACTTGGATCTAACGGAGGACATGACACAAAACCGATCGCAATGGCGTTCTAGGATTCATATAGCCGACCCCACTTAGTGGGAAAAGGCTTTGTTGTTGTTGTTGTTGTTGTTTATCAAATATTATTTTCTCTATTTTTAAATACGTTCAAAACATCTTAAGATGCGCGTAGTGTTGGTTATAAAAAATGTCTTTCACACGCGCATAATAATGTAATTCGATTAGTTGTCAAATGATTATTTTTTTTTCTTCGAACAAACAATATTATCTACACTAAGGAGGAGGGGGTGAGCTTAGCCTCACATTGAGTTAGCAATAATGTGATTCAATCAGTTGTTTATTAAATATTATTTTCTCTATTTTTAAACACGTTTAAAACATCTTAAGAGCAGCGTACCGCCGGTGACAAAAAAAGTCTTCCACATGTGTACAATAATGTGATTTAACCAGTTGTATTATTTTCTCTATTTTTAAACACTTAAGAGGCAGATAGTGCCAATTATAAAAAAAGGCACTTGTCAAATGATCGTTTTTTTCAACAAACAATGTTTTCTACACCAAGGAGGAGGGCTGGGCTTAACTTCACAATGAGTTAGCAATAATGTAATTCAATCAGTTGTTTATTAAATATTTTTTTCTCTATTCTTAATGTAAATTCAATAGAATGTAGATGGAAATTAAAAGACCGATTTTATTATGTGAATTTAACTGCTTTGATTGGTTCATGAGGTGTTTCTTCTAGCATGTTCGAATATTATTCATTTACTTCAAATATTTGACTTTCTTTTTGTCATAAAAAAAATTATTGAAGCAATTAACCCATATAAATACATTTAAAACGTGTAAGTCGAGCGTAGCACGCCGTGGTTAAAAAAATATCTTCTGCATGCGCGTGAGTGTGTGCATAAAGGTTAGTTCTCAATTATTCAAGCTATACACAGTAAGAGTTAGGTCGAGACGAAAATTGACCTCGTAACATGCAAAGTTTTTCTAGTGTCTATCTAGTGAGAAGGTGCACAAACTAGTGATCGATTTATTCGGTTTAACCATGCATCTAAGAATCAAACGGTCTCAAAACCTAACAAAACGTCTGTTTAGTTGACTCAGCATTTTATTCTTAAAACATATGCAGTGTGACATTATGTATCTCTAAGTTATAAAACCATTTGTCATCATACATTTTGTGTAACATTGTTTGCTTGTATATCATATGTTTTAGAGATTTTTGTTTAAATACAAATAATATTTTCTCTTGAGACGTAATGAGTTACAAAGGAAGGCCTATTGAAGAAGGACAGCCTATTCACCCGGCCAAATGTAGTATTATTCTCAAACAACAGTAATATTCAAAATAAGTAGAATCCGGTCTATAGAGTTTATCAAAAGAAATAGAGCTTTTTATTAATAATATGGTAAGAGTAACTATGTAATACCGTGTTGTTCAATATCGAAGAGTGACATGCACGTATGCAACATCCACCACCACGTATGCACAAGTGTTGGTGAAACTGAGCATGTTATTTTAGTTACGAACGGCAAAGGTGATAAACTATTTAACAATGGAATAACTCATATAATTAATATGATCATGTTCATGGTGAACCCCCACCTCCTTTACCATATCCGGACCCATAACCTGACCCGTAACCAGAGCCACTACCACCACCATGGCCGCCTCCACCACCACCGCCACCTCCTTCGCCACCGCCACCACCGCCACCTTTACCACCTCCACTACCGTAGCCACTTCCACTTCCATAACCGGATCCATAACCTGACCCACTTCCTCCACTTGAGCCTCCACCACCACCGCCACCTCCCCCACCTCCACCTCCACCTCCACCTCTTCCTTTGCCACCACCAGACCCATAACCAGAGCCACTACCGGACCCATATCCAGACCCATAACCACCCTTTTCACCATATCCACCGCCACCGCCCCCTCCTTCACCTCCACCGCCTCCGCCTTCAGTACCATACCTTGAACCACTCCCATACCCATGTCCCAAACCATGCCCAAACCCCGACCCAGAAGTTGAACTGCCCCCTCCAGCACCTCCGCCGCCGCCACCGCCACCACCGGTACCCCTAATGGCCTTTGGTGATCTAGCAGCAAAGGAGAGCTCCACAAGGAGCAAAACCAAGAGCGCAGCACCAATGACCCTAGTGCTGGCCATACTCAAACTTCAAAAACGTAATGTGGATTGGTTAAGATCGTTCTTGAGATCAATGTGACAATATAAGTGTAATGTGTTGATTGAGACTTGTGGGTGAAGTATAACTTGAGAAACCAAATACTTTGTGAGTAGACAAGGTTAAGGTGAGGTCTCTATATATAGGCATCAGAAAGCTATGGCACTATCCCAACTTTGTTGACATTAACATTCTAGTACCATTGGTGGTGGTGGTGGGTGTGGCGGTGGTGGTAATGTGGGTGGTGTCTTGTTTTTGTCCTCATGCAATTCCTTGCTGTTGAATACAGATATACTTGGATAAATGGGACCATGCCAATAAGATGCCTTCACACTCCAATTCTGTGCTGGACCGATATATGAATGCCACAATGAGTGCATGAGTTTCCCATTGTATTTTTAGTGAATTAATTTGTGGTGAATGTGTTTTACATGTTCTTTCTTAAGAAACATTTTCACTTGAGAGATAATGGTTGGTCCTATTTAATGTTAGTTACGAATCATAATGAGCAAAGCGTAACGCTAGGGAAACTAAAATTTTAAACCGAATTTGCAAACCAAATGATGTGTCACTAATAGAGAATAAACATGTTAATCAAAACTAATAATCCAATCATCAATAATCACATCATTTGATTTACAAATTTAGTTTAAAAATTTGATCTCCCTGACATTATTACCAGCCCACGAGGAAAATATACGACACCTTATACCCCCTGGGAATTTTAGCCATGCAATTGTTTTTTGGTCAGAAGCCATGCAATTGTTTTGAAAAAAAAAAAGAGAAAAAAAAAGAAGATATAGATTATGAACACCACTGTTGGAATAAACTATTATCCTAAATTTTTAAATCCAATTGATTAATGTGATGGTGTACTTAGAATAGCTTTGCCGAATACTAGTTTATCCATTAACTCATCTGTCGGTTACCATATCGACTAACTTGGTGTCTTCGATATTAGTTTGATTTTGAGAGGATTAGATTGTAAAATAAACTAGTTTATCCTTTAATATAAGTAGATTATTATCAGACCACGGAATCAAGTAATTAACTTGGGTGGAAAAGCAGTTCAACTCACTTTGACCGTAAAGATGACAGACGAAACAAAATCAACTAATTTGTGGGCATGCAATTGAACATACAAGCAAATTGATCAAAAAGGCCAATCAACCTCCATTCTTGAAAAACAACCAAACACCCACAATTTTCATTATATAATACAACCCATTACTAATTTTGATTTTTAGTTCATTGATTGAAAATAAATAACAGCTCTACATGTTTATTTTTTTTAGTTGAGCGATAGTGTTAACATGTTAGAAGTTAATTGTTAGGGAGAAGAGGAATTGGTGGGAATCGAACTTGCACCAAGATGCATAGACCTGAATGTTTTCCACCACTGTGGTAAAGTGTCATCTGCAATAACAGCTCTACATATTTGTCAAGAAGATTACATAATTTTGCCAGACTTTCCTCTTATACAAAAAGAATCACTAACAAACAATAAAGCAATCGTAAACCCTAAAAAATAATAGAAAAGTTATCATAATTCGTATGCTTACCAAATAAGAAAGCAATTATGCATAACTACGTAATGGGTCGAATTGTACTTGGAGCCATGCCAACTACTTAACAATTCAGTTGGTATGGCTTGTCATCAATTCTCAAATAACAGAGTCCTTGAATCCTTGCCATTAGTTAAATAACTAACAAATTAACAGAAGAAGAAGAATTAATACAGGCCAACGCGTATCAAGGTTTCTCAGACAGTCGTAATCTGACTTTGCCTTCCAAGCTAGCAATTACAACAACAATCACGCTTTTGGAAGATACTGAAAATCTAAGGCCACAAAATCCCACTACCAGACTCTCTCACCTACCTAAAACACAATCCTTTCCAAAATCGATGGATTTGACATCTCATGTGTTAGTGGGGAGAGACTTTGTACTCTTTCTTCAAATGTACGCTTGACAAATGCCTAATTTCTACATATATACATATAATCAATCATATATGCTTCCCTGTGTCTATATTGCGTGATTGACCATTTAGAGATTAGCTTGCATGCACTTTGGCTCCCTCAATCATATCAATGTAGGCGTGCCCATCCTACTTACTGAAATAGCATGGGATCCAATTATCCTTTATGTTATGTGCATATGTTCAAAACAAAACTAGGCCTCAATCATAGGGCTAGGCACGGGCCGGGCCGGGAACAACATATTTTAATATAAGAACCGGACCTAACCCAGTCCGATTGAAACGGACCAGTTCGAGCTGGGTTCACGGATCCTTTTTTTTTGTGAAAAAAAAAAACCTAAAATTTTATAGCAACAAGTGCAGATTTTACAATTTGCAGTTTGCACATATTCATCATTCACATTCACTCCCAGTACAGATTCACATCCAAAAATTACAAATACAAAGTCCAACTCCAATATCCAAGTCCATAGATTAACATTACATCCAAAATAACAACATTACATTTTCCAACATCTTTCGAGACATTAAATCTGAGACATTCAAAATAAAATCCATAGATGATGCTACATTAGTACTAGGGGTATTTTGACTTTGAGACATTACAGCAGCACAGCTGCTGCACAGATTGAATTCTAATACTAACAAATTTCTAAACAGGTGTGACAATTTCTGAAATTCTAATGCAATTTTTTTGCAGGTGTGACAACCATTGCGGGGAAGAACTGCAGAAATTATGCAAATTGTTTGATGTATTCTATTTTGTATAAGAATGAAATCCAGAAATTATGCAATTAAAGGGAAGAACTACAGTCCAATTCAAATCGAAAACCCACATTGAAATCCAAAAATTATGAAATTATAGAATTACGCAATTGAAATCCACAAATTATGCAATTGAGGGGAAGAACTACAAACTGTGTCGAGGAGGGGACAACGACGACGCGAGAGACAATTGAGTTGAGTTCAAGGACTCCAGTGATAGAGTCAAGCTCATTTATCGATCAAAGTGGTGGGGGTGCCTGGGTTCTGTGATGTCGAGATGGTGGAGGATATGATGTCGGGGTGGTGGAGGAGACGACAAGGCGAGATGGCAAGAGAGAATCGAGTCGAGTTCTAGGACTCCAATGACAAAGTTGAGCTTGAGGAGACCTAGGTCCTAGGGTAAAACTAACGGTTCAGATTGGATGGTAGGTTACTCTTCAATCTCGTCCGACCCGCTCCTAAAATTTGAAAGCCCCGCTCCGCCTCGCCCCGTTTCTCTTTTTAAAAATTAGGAACCGGCCCGTACCCGCCCCAAACCTTGATTACCCGGCCCAACCTGTGGTTCCTATACTTGTTTGCCCACCCTTACTTAATCATATCAATGTAGGCGTGCCAATCTTATCTCTCTCTCTTTTCCTTCAGTAAAATAGGCCTCCAACACCTTATCACCACCCTCCTGTTACTGCACTACGAAATTGAAGGATTTGGAGAATGATCTTCTACAACCAACGTTCAAAGGCTTTCATTGTTTTTTTCAATCCGGATTCTTCTAAAACATGAATCAATATTTTATAAGCCTTAATAGCATGTAAATATTCACCCTAATGCATGAACCTTCAATTTATCTGCTTCATATACTACATTTATTGCTCATACACACACACACACACACACACACACATATTGGTCATACATACACAATACTTTATTTGGTTAATTTGCTATGCAATATTATGTTTTGTAATATTATTCAATATTGCTATGGTGAATTGTGTGAGTACAAAAATAAAAATAAAAATTTGAAGCAAAAACAAGGGTTTTAGAAACCTAATCAAGAGTCAAGCCCTGCGAGCCGTATCGCGCCGAAAAAAGAGCAGATTCTTTCTTTAATCTCCCCAAGAGCTTTTTATACTTTGAAGAAGTTTTATAGAGGCCAAGCCTGGGCGACTGTTTACCAAAAACAGAGGTCTCTGCAAAGCCATAAGACCATGTATGGGGGCTGACACCCGCCTAGTGTGGAAGGTCAAGGAAGTTGGTGACCTTTTTGTTTCACTGCGAAGAAAGAGATAGAGAATTCGTGCTGGAAAATGATAAGGAAATTAGGATTCCTTTACTACGTTTTATTCTTGTCTTGGCCTACCGAATGAAGATGTACCCTGGTTATTGAAGAGCCGCCTTTCTCTTTCTTTTAGTTCTGACAACTCTAGAAAAGGATCTTGGGTTTATTTCAAGGTGGTAGACTAATGTGGAAAAGAAGTCACTTAAGGAAACATCCGGTGAATTTGCAACACTCCAATATCCAATACCAATGGATGTACCGAAGCCAATCGTTTATCCAGTTTCTGAGAAAAGACCACTCAAGGAAGTCCCAGACTTTTTTTATTGGAAATAGTGCATCAAGTGCCAAGCCACGCCTCAAAACGATGTCATTTAAGGCGTTGTTAGCAGCCCACTTTCTAGTTGGGCCTATTGCTAATGGTTCCAGCCTATATTGGGCTTCATGTTTAGCTTGCTGCTGGGCTCCCTCCACCTCAGCCCACTTGAGCTTTTTTTTTTTGGAGCTAAATTTAATGGCTAATCCAATTTTTTGGGCTTTCCACTTGTTTGGCCCGTAGCCATCCAGCCCCAATATGGTCTGAATCACTATATTTTCCTTGCTCTCACTGCCGACCGTTTTGACTTGTTGAATTAATTTAGTGCCCGCAATCTATAAATTTGACAAAAAAAAACTTATTTTAGCTCGCAGTTCACTCATATAAATTACAACCAATATTTTATTTTTCTCTTTGTATCATTGACATCCTTTCATAGTCCTGAGGCTACTTGCACTTGGTCCCCGAAGCAACCTAAATACACAACACTAGGTTGTATATTGTATTATGTGTTCTTGCTGATACCCTTTTATGAATAGAAATGTCATGCCCCGAACCAGGGTCGGTAATAAAAAAATGAACCTGAATCCGAAACGTGACTTAAAAACTAAATAAACAAAAGGAAATCGAAATGGGTTGGAAAATA